ATAATTATTTATTTATGTTTTAGGTTTTTTTAAAGGCCTTATTTGTGCTCATTTAAGATTAAGTCAGCTCGCTTAGCACAAGTAGAGCAAAGGATTTGTAATCCAGAGGTTGCTTGTTCGATCCTCGAACACGGTGATTTTTTTCCGTGTCAGTTAATCACGGTCATATAACCTTTGGTCATTCTTCAGAAATCCTGTGGGGTAAGTAGTCGGTCAAATTGAGAATTGGAAATTTATGAGACGATCACTTATACTCGTAAACCCCATCTTAAAAATAATCAAAATTTGAAAACATGAACAACACAATCTCTATGTACTGAAAAGTACGCCAGTTTTTTTGTTTTTTTTTTCACTTCTTTAAGTTTTCGTATTTTTTTTTGTATTGATACTAAAACCTAGTACATAGGGAAAACCTTTAATCTGTAGGATTCAAATGCTTTAACAGTAAAGCATTTTTTTACAGCACACAAGTTCGTAATATCCAAAGCATTACACAGTTTACATAAGTTTGTATAGCCATCTTGTTTTTAGGCGGATTAGCATGCATAGTTTTCAAAATGCGAACAGAGTGGCAAGGGGACAAACCAACTTCTGTATACTCCCTTCAAAAAGTAGTTTGCGGGATTATAACATCTTGCTATGACCTTCTTTACGTTCATTGAACGCCACCCTTCCTTGACAATCTTGTGTTTTTTCTATATTTCAAATATACTTTATAGTCAGGGTCAAAAAGCATATATTATATTTTCACTCAGTGAAGTAGAACCCTCTTCTTGCTTCTCCACCTCGACTTAATAAATGTTACTTTTTTAAAAGCGTGTGTTCCTATCTCTTTTATCAATGCAAATGTTATAATTCCGCTATACATACACATGATGTAATTGTGAAAAACAGTTAACTCACTTACACAATACTTCGCTGCTGACCAGACGTCGATTAAAAGCGTTCTTGTACAGGTGTACAAGTTATGACTAGGTCTGTACTGACGCCATTTACTCGAGGTCTACTAGATTGGGGAACACCAGTTTGCTGAAAACGCTAATACACATGCATGGTCGTATACCTATTACGATCAAATATCGTAGTGTTGTAAGTGACGCTGTCGACGCGAGTTCGCATAATGTGTTCTTGGAGTCGCTAAATTTCATTTAATGTTGACATTATGCCAAAACGCTATACCATTTTCTTTTGCAAAAGGCAAAAGGAAGTGGCAATCTTAGATTCACAATCAAACTGCATATCTACATAATTGCTAAATTCAAGAAATAAATTGAAACTTTACTCGTGAATTATGGTAGACACTTAGTGCAATTAGTGATCTATAGGGTTTGTTGACGCAATAAAAAGATATATTTAAAGTAAAACTGTACACTAACGTTTGCAACAGAGTATTAAAACAAAAGGTTCTGTTATGATTGTAATTTGTTTTGTATCGAAATTCATTTATGGCTACTCTGTGTGCAAAATAAAGCGCATCAACAGAACTGCCAATATGTGTTACTTTCCCTACGGTTAACCATTCAACGTTTTCACTTACTGTTTGTTCATAAACTTCAATATGGGAAATGGTTATGTTGGCGTCTTTGAAAATTATACAAAGTTATTATTTGATTAATATTTTTTCAATAGGATTCTTTTTAAAGTTTAGGTGTAGATTTCCCTGCATTTCATAATGTTAATATTTGTTTCTCTCCCGGTAATTAAATCATTATGATCGTATTTTGTAATAGAAATTATCACATTTGTAAGATGTACTTGCTGTTTATTGAAAAGATTATATCAACAAATTGAGTTATTTTGCATCCAAAACATATATCTATAGCAATGTATAGAACAGACCAAAGGCGATTATAACTACTAGAAGTGTTCATTCATAATTTGATTACATGTCAGTGAGTGAACCATTCAATTTTAGTGATCCGCAAGTATGTGCCACTCATACTGAAATATTTCTATTGATAAAATCTCAAATCATTAAGTCTTGAACGTGCATCTTAATCATGTCTACGTTTCATTTTCTCACTCAAGTGATAAATTCGATTTCTTGCAGCATTTAATGAAAAGCAAATATCACAGATAAGCAACTGCAGACAAATTAAACGAGGACATTTAATTTGAACTAAAATTGATTGGCATACATCCAAGATACATAGGCAATTTTTCTAATTAATGTAGTCGGTAGACTCTGTGTTTAGTCAGGTTTTTTGTGTACTAATACCCATCCAAAATATTAATCCGTTATTAATAATAAAGAGTTTTGACAGGTTATATGACTCTTATCAAACGGTTGCTTGTACATAAAACCCGAGCCGGTAGGCGGGGATTATATGGCCAACAACCGTTTATATTCGGCCAATAGATATAACCTGCCAAGAATCTTTCTAACGAATTTATGACATAGCAAACTTCTTGCTTAGAAAACAAATGAAATTTCCTAAATAATTTTTAATGTGCCGTTTAACCTACACAAACAAGCTTTAATCTTAATCAAATATGATAGTGGTTATAGTTGTAATTTGTATGTCACTTCAAAACTGTTAATTTAAATGTTGATCGTGGAATATTAAGAATCGAACAGAAACAAAAATTAATGCATGTTCTATATGCGTATTGAACAGTTTCTACAAAAAGTTTTTGCAATAGATCTAAATGAATTGTAACTGTATTTCAAGGATAATATGAAGCTTAATTGTTACTTGTGAGTTAAAAGTATTCATATTATCTCGTTACCTGAATTCTTTTGTTAAACTGTAAATCTAGTAGTATTAAAGGAAACATTAAATTTTAAATACAAATTAGACATTAATGACCATCTATAAATATCATAAGTCAGTTAATTATGATTATAGTTCTAAATAAATTACTTTCGTCGTCTGATATTGTCTTTATTATGCCACAGTGGGATATGAGTGAGAATCGTTATGTTGAATACAGTTTACGTAATGCACAAATTATACTTTATTTAAGCCTATTAAGCTATTGATTTTGCCTTGCTTTAGAGCGTCTTACTGTGCAGTAATGTGTTACTTCCTCTCTGAAGTCTTAGAAATAATACGGGGGATTTTGTAAACCTTTTTTAATTGAGAACAGTGGTATTATAGAGACCATAATGATACTCCAATTCCGAAGAGAATATGTTAATTGATAATTTAAAGAAGTTTTTTTTTATGATTTAAAGATAATATTCTTATAAAAGGTATTGTTTGATGTGTAAATCAGTGAATATTGACACTGATCAGTCATTCACATTTAATACAAGGACTGACTATCCTATATAGAGGTGTTATCAAATAACAAAACAAAGTCTGACTGTTGTGTTTCGGACAATTTACGCAAAAACGGGTCTGTAGATATAACACCATTCTATGCAGTTTCTTGCATACGTCATATTACTACATATAAACTTATATATTCATTAGAATATATGATGTATACATACAAAAAAGCTATTATATTGCCGTATTTTCAAAATTTTCTTTGCAAAATGAGATGATATATCACTGAGTTTGTTTTATTTTCATTATTTGTGTATATGTAAGACATTGTAAATGATGGCGTCATTGACTCGATTGTTTAAGGAATCTTTAAGCTATCAATTCTTTTCTATCACAAATTGTAAATAAAATTGTTCTATCTTTAGGACTTAAAGCATTCCAGAGGTAAGGTTCAAATGAAAATATAATGTTTGTTAATCTTACTTATATATATCACGTGATGCTGCTTGTATGTAAATAAATGCTCTTACACCTGTTTACAAGCAAATAAATGCTGGAAGTCATTTTACGTTTTTTCATTCGAAAATAAATGCATATAGAGTAGCATGAAATGACAGAATAATATTGTCACATATACTCTATCTACAATGCAAAAGAACTATTATGCAAAACCGTAGAAACACAAAAAAAAAGAAATATGAGTTTGTACATATGTCGGCTAATCGTTTCTCAGCTTTGCCTCAACGCCCATCTCAAATGACAATTTATATGTTCTGTCACGTTTGCAATTTAGATTGCCGATACCGTCAAGGCTATGCCTCCTAACTATAACATTTTTAAAACGACAAATAGAACAACAGTTCTTTGCAGATGGCTCACCCTATACTTATATGTTTTTCCATTTATATTTAATATAAACATCTTAAATAACAAAATGACCTCAGTCGCACTGATTTTATATTCAGTCGTATATAACATTATAAATAATTTTACTTCATTAATCATCAAAACATTTTAAAAGATCTAACATTTTCAAAAAAGCATTTGCAAGTGTATATGTCATTTTTGACCTTATTTATCAGAAATTGTCTCTTTAAATTCCGCAAAGGAAGCATTTATTTTAATATATTATAACGACATGTATTAAAAACTGTATATACCGGTATTTCAGTCTGTTAAAAGGATCAAGGAATGACTAGAACCGTTTTAGTTAAATGAGGTTATTCCAAAGTCAGGATTCTTAAAATTAGCAATAGAAAAGTAATCGGTTTGGTATGATTTCATTTACGTTTTCGTTTTATTTTTTATATTTGACTTGATTAATTATCATTTTAAGAATTATTTTAAGAACATAGCATCCTTTATGCAATGTATGTGTTCTCAATACTTTTTTTTACTGAATTTGGCGTTGTTATAAATTCATCATTTTAAAATGGACCTACCAGAATAAGATATTCTCATCTTACGCTTCAGCTCAGCTTGCAATAAGTATTTCACAGTCAAGCAATTTATTCTTGAATGCCACAATCTTGCACAGGGTTCATGATAAATTGTATCAAGTACATTTAATCAGTTTCGTTACAAAAACGGTCGATTTCTGAATATGTAGCCAAAGATTTAAATAGCTTATTTTTAAGAAAAAAATACCGTATATTCTAGAGTTGGGTTACTCGCTCAAAGCCTAATAATGTTAGTGTCCGACAAATACACGACCAATAATGTGCTGAAGTCTCTTAAACCCAAAGTAACAAACATATTTACATGATAAATGACAAGAAACGAATGTGACAAACATAATACAACTTTATTATAATGCTACTTATCTACAATTATAGCTCTCTAAACGGGCAGCACTTACCAACTCAGTAATACATCAATATAGCATCATATGTAATAACACAACTGAACATAATACACGGTAATATTCTTGGTATTCGTTTCGCGCAATAAAAGCTGAAATATTTTCAACCAATCTCATATAGACCGAAACCAAACATATCTCTGATAGAAATATTGAAAGTTTCTCTGTAAATGAAACGAAAAGTGTTTATTAAAAATAGGATAACTGAAAAGAATGTCTGCTTTTAATATCGGTTAATACATATGTACAATAAAATATCGGAAAGGGAATATACTAAAATATACAAACTAATCCATGTGATCATTTGGGTATTTCGGACGTTTTATTAAAACTAATTTTGAAGACCTCATAATATATTATCGTAATCTTTAATAACTTACAAAGCATTTGAAATCCAGAAATATGTTATTGGAAATTTCAAAATAACGTTTAAAAAGAAACAATAAAAGAAAAAACAAACTGAGTGATTTATAAAATAAAAAACAAATTGAAGGCAGAAAGCAATATTAAAAATTGCGTGCTTGATTTAGTATCTTTAAAAAAATAACAACATTAAATGAAGCTGTGGAATATTCACATTCTTTATCAAAATGTATAGTTATTTTATTAATTAATAATTAAAGATCCTGTGACTCAAAAGTTTTATGGTTTTATAGCAAAAATATGATGCTCAAATGAAGATTTATCAATATTATAAGTTCCAAAAAGCATTATTTGTAAAAATATTACCGAATTTACAATTCATGAAAATAAAGGGAGGTAATTAGAAATTGATTTCGAATAAAGTTAATCCAGATTTTTCAATAAGAAATGAATATGTATATTTTACTGATTACTTATAATGCGCATAAACATTGCAGTACATATTTAATTTAATCTTGGTTTGGTTGAAAATTGTTCAAGAAAAATTATATTATTATTATTATTATTATTATTATTATATATAAAATGTCACTTAAGTGTTGTTATTTCCTTAATTACAACATACGGTATCTTTAAAATCAACATTCAACATTGAAATGTAATCAAAATATCACATTTCTTTATCCATTTGCTGATGATAAAACAATGTATAATATGTTACTTATGTAAGTCCTGGCTGTTTCCAGGGATGAAATTATAATGAATAACAGAAAAATAGCAGAATGACAACACTACTAAACATTCTATTCACATGTGAAAGACACTTGAGATGGCTGAAGAAAGTATAACAGATGTCCTTCCACTTTGTTACCTTCCAACTGTATAAAATAATGTGGTTAATACGTACAAAACATGCCTTTATTGCGTCATATTTATAAACAAAAGGCCAAATTATAAACGATGTCTCTAACTTGTTTTGTATAAAAATTGTTAAATTAAATATACCTTGGTACTAGTGCGAACCATTTTATAAGAAACAATATATGATTTGATTAAAAAATACATGTATTACATACTTTCTTGAACTCGTATTATAATTGGTATGTAGCTTACGATTGAATAACGCTGTCGCACACATCAAATGCAATTTACAAAACATTTAAAATTACTAAATGTCATTTTGATCGATACAATATTGAAAACTCATGAACTCAAAGCTATATTTTATTCAAGCTATCGCAACAACACCTAAAAACAAATAGCATATACATTTTATGTACAATTACTCAAAATAGTGTTGGTAATAGTGTCACTTCCTTCAGATATATTTTAAAAAAATCAATAAACATGTGAATTGCATGCTGATAATTGTGAAGCAAAAATAACTTGCCCCATATTGAAGAGAAACAGTCATCAATGCACATTTGAAGATAAACCACTATTTACATATGTCAAGAAAAACATAAAGAACTGCAGACATCTTAAAGGTTAAAATGATAAAGGCAAAAACAAATGAATAACATGGAAAAAATTAAATGTTGTCAGTATGAATGTAAATTCAATCGAAACGCAATGAAAGTCACCAGAATACTCAGCATTCAACCTTTTTACTATTTTAACTAATAATCAAACATTTAAACATGATTGTTTACGCATGCCTTAAGTGTTCATCAAGTGCAACAACAGATAAAATATAGCTTATTCTTAAATAGGCATTTAATAAGAGTATGGCTGGGTAAGCTTTACACTTCTGTTTGTGTACAGTGGTTAACAGATTTATTTCCGTTTTCGGCATTATTGTAGTATGTTTGCAGATTTGTTGTTGATGTCGCCGAAGTGTGGGATGTATTGTTTCCCGGTTGTTGACAAGGCGTTGTTCTCTCGGGTCTTTCGATTCTGATATTTGTGCGTTCATACTCAAACTTTGTATATGCTCCTGCTCCACAACAAAGGACCTTTCTGAAGCTTCTTCTAAAATTGTCAGATAAAAATGCGTATAAAATAGGATTCACACATGAGTTCATATAAGCAAGACAGTTTGCCACCATTTGGAGCGCTATGTATGAAATATCGTCAGAATAATATCCAAAGTTTTGCACCATAAATACCACTTGGATCGGTAACCAGCATAGTGCAAATATAGCAACTACAATCACTACCATCCTCGTTACTCGTTTCTTCGACCGGATGCTCTCTGCTCTTTGCGATCCTCCGGGAACTACCCCATAGAGCAAACGTTTTAACATGAATCCATAGAGAACACAAATAAGCGATAATGGTAATAGATATCCGAACATAAAGAATGATGCGTAAAATATTTTCAACATTAGCATGTCGTTACCTGCTGAATACTTTGATATACACGTTGATCTATCCTCACCGAAATAGTCGTAGGCGACTACCTGGTAATCAAACAGAAGAGGGATATGGCCCGCAACAATAATAACCCAGAGGATGACAAGTATTCGGAGTGTGTTTGTTTGATTTCTGACTGACATCGATGATATTGGGTGTACGACGGCAAGATATCTATCTAACGACATTACAACGAGTGTGTACACACTGGCATATGCACAAACATACATAAGAAATTGAACAATTTTACACCAAACTTCCCCGAATGGCCATTGTGGTAGCGCGTACGCAGCAGCTGTGAAAGGCACACAAAAAACTATGAAGCAAAGGTCGGCAAATGCAAGATTCAATATCAGTAAATTTGTTGTACTCCGCATCTGTTGGTTCATAATTATTACAACTATCACAAGAAGATTGCCTAGAAATCCAACTGCAACAATAAGGCCGAATATTATAGGGATTATTACAACCATATATCGTTCAAATCTGTAGAAAACGTCTAAGACGCCGGTGTCGTTTAACAGATTATCAACTGATCCGTTTACCAACGAAAGGTTTAAGTCCGATGCATTGATGGAAACCGTGGAAAATGTCTCCTCCATACTGGAACCTGCAATTATAAAAAGGCATAGATCAATATTTCATATACATGTATTAAAGTTACTTTAAGAGATATACCTCTTTACTCATTATCATAATGATTTTAAAATGATTTTGACCTATCTGGAAAACTGCAGATTCACTAGATTTGTAATCCAATGGTTCTGGTTCAATCCTCGGGCGAGGCAAATTTTCTACGTAACAATTAATATGGAATGGTCATTTATCGCTATCATGTGTGACAAAAAGTCTGTTATATGCGATGAACATATTAGTTAGTTGTCACGGAAATCTAATTAGGCGAACCGACTTCCAAGATCTGACCATAAATGTGTTAAAATCGGCATATAAACAGACAAATAAACACTTTTATTTGGGATAAATGATACATGTCAAGCGTTACCTTTGCCAATGTAAAATAAATGTATGTTGTTGGTTTAATTAATTAATTAATTAATTAATTTATGCATGCATACATTCATTCTATCATTCATTCATTCATTCATTCATTCATTAATTTATTAATTAATTAATTTATTTATTTATTTATTGCTCTGTGAATTAAAGATGTACACCTCCGTACGATATGATTGATAAATAACATTTATATTTTACGTTTGAAAAGATTTATGTTACGCAGAACCTCTGGCTTTGATATGACCATTCTTATACACAACAAACCGTTTTATAACTTTTTTCTTCATATAAATGCTCAGAATGTTAGAAAGTCATTTATGCTAGCTTGATTACAAAAAGTCATATCAGAATTTAAAAAAAACATCAATTTTGTTGTTTTTGACTTTCTTTAGGGATTCTTATTTCTCTCTATTTTACCTAATCTATTTTCATTTATTATTTCTTTTGCATTATTTAATTGTGCTATAAAATGAATCCGTATCACTCACGAGTTACGACTCTATATAAAAGGAGATAATAAGATTGTTGATTCGCTACAATTTAAAACAGACTAAAACGTTGCCGCGTACTTCACTTAAGTGTTGTTATATGTTTCGCTCCAGCCGGTGCTAGGGGGCGTGAGGGATGTTGCACTTATACATTTTCCTTCATATACAGACTAAATTAAACCGAGTCTGCAATTTTTATGTGATTTTGTTGTGAATAATGTTTCAGAGGGATCACTTTGTTTCCAGATTTTTATACTGCACAACAGCAGGTGTCAAGTGCTGTGTGGCAGCTGTAAAAAGTTGCCCCGTACTTCACTTCAGTGTTGTTATATTTTTCTGGTCCTTCGGGATCATTGATGCCAGCACTATTAAGTGCTGAGAATTAAGTACCACTCAAGCCGGTGCTCGGAGGCGTGAAGTATGTTGCACTTATACATTATCCCTCATGTACCGACTCAATCAAACCGAGACTGCAATTTTCATGTAATTTTGTTGTGATTAATGCTTCCGAATGATCACTTTGTTTTCAGATTTTTATGAGTAGCGTATTATTAGTAAATGTAATATCTGATACAGTTATTGTTCCGTAAACTCTGGCCATTATTTGATAGTAGTTATGCTTTTACAAAATATATTAATTCTACTACGATATTTCAGTAAAATTATATATCCTGTGTAATAAATTTTTTCGGCTGTAAGAGCAATTTGGATGGAAATTGTAAATTATTTTCATTTTTATATTTTCTAAATTTTGTTTGATTTATTTTTCTCTTCTTTTATCTTATGCATTACAATGTATATTTAATGTTTTAACTTCAAAAGACTAGCTTAATACTCAATTTTAATTAGAGTATGTTTAAATTTTTGTTTAAATCTCTCTTACTATTCTTATTTTACTGTTCGTTGTTATATCGTAATCAGCTTATAACACTGTAAAGCCTTGAACGTGTATATGAAAAGGCGCTGTATAAATTTGGTACATAATAAAAACAATTGTTGCTCTCGGTCGTTTGTATTGTTTTATTGTGTCATTATTGTAAGTAATATTTTTGCCACAAAAAAGGTTTTTATCTATATCATATCTATTCTAAGTTAAACTGAATGCTTTCATTGAAATTTAGAATTTAATGTCCTTATTTTATAAAAAAATATTAAATATATTCAAATAAATATGTGGTTTTAATTGCAGTTAAAACGTTTATAATTGTGAATAGCATTTCTTGAAACGCACTTATGGCACACTTGTCATGAATTATTTTCCTTGGTTTAGACTTATAACCCACACGCAGACATTTAATTTATATATCTTCTGTACGTTTTCGAAATAAAATATAACTGACCATTCTTTTAAATAATATTGAATAGGAATAAATTAAATCTAAATATTAAAATATCGGATACATAAAAAAACTGTTTCTTTTTATTAAATGTCAGGTCAGACAATTTATTGATTTATGATTAAAGCTATTTTTTTCGTATTCATTCATATCATGATTAAAAATATTTGAAAGTAAATATAGCAATAATTTTCCGTTATCTTGTTGCATTACCGAATGATTGCTTGGTAGGGAAAAAGATATTGTTCATGATATTTCATGATTCATACAAAATCGGCATTTGTAATTGCTTTATATTTTAAGTTGTTTTTTAAAATTTGTTCTTATTTTATATTTATTTATTTTGTTTCTATGTGAGATGATAACGTTTTCCAAGACTATACAGGTAGTTCCATGATTGCGTTCTTGTATTAGGTGAGATGATTTATATTTCAGTAGTCTATAACAAGTCAATTGTCTTGCTTTTATTTTCCGCGACTTATCTAACATCATAAACGAAGTGCGACAGTCTTCTTCAAACAGAATTGCCTTGACAGGCGAAACATCAGAAACCACTTTCAAGAAATTGACATCTTCCTAGAGCGTTTAATCAATTTATAGAACACTTCAATTGTTTGTCGATGTATGAGAAAACCAAAATGTGGAAGATAACAGACAATGCTTCTATTCATCAATATCACTTTCACGTCATATTTCGAATATGTTTTAGTTCTGAATATATCTCCATTTGAAATCTAAAGCAATTTTCACTGTACTTAATTTTACCGAGGTTAACAATACCCCATTTGCTTTTTACAAGATCGAGCCAAATGTCACAACTTTTCCTTCAGTTTAAGGTACATAACATCAAGTATTATTTCTATTTCTAGTTTATTGCGACAGAAAATCATACATGCATCTATGTCATTAAAACTGACATTTCTTCAAAATGGCTCAGTCATTATAATAGCACATTTCAGGAGGTATTATGAAAGTGAAATGAATAAAGTTATATATATGTTGGTCCTTTATATCGTTATTTTATTTGTATTAACTGCAGTGTTATTTTTTCACACCATTCTTTAAGCATTTACAATTATGATTGGTTATTATAAATAATAGATGCATGCATTTCTAAAGATAAATTCTCATTTTTGGCATAAATGCCGTAAATTTTAATGGTTCTGTACGGTTTTTATTGAAACATATTTGAGTTTGTACTCAGACGTCTTAATTTATATTTAATTCATTTAACTCTATTGTAAAGTGATATTTAGATTTAGAAAGAATACCACATATAAAACTTTAAGTATGTATCATTTTTCGTAGCAATTATGCAATTTTGTTGCAACGACTGTTATTTCAAGTGTATTTTAGTTTCCATATTTACACAACTGAAAGATAATATACCATGTTATGATAATTCGAGACATTTCTCTTTCGCAAAAGCCATTATTTGAAACCTTATGGTGAACAAAACAAACAGCCTGAAAGTTCCATATCTTTAACAGATTTTATAAACTTTGTTGTTGAAGGATTTGATTTTCATACAATATGTCATAATCTATATTGTGCAATGTAGAAGTACATAGACATGTGACGGTATAAGATGGGTAAACCATATAGACAAGAAGCCATATCATTCTGTATCTTGTCAATATTAATGAAGCCAACGCAGTATTGTCGTTATCTCATCAGATCTATATCTATTCACAGAAATTAAGGCAAAGTTTTGTTAATTTATAGTTATGTATATTTTACAGTTTCTAAAAGCTTATACTGAAAAACGATGGCTTTAGCCAAAACAAAACAATACAATACACGTATTCTGTTATTTCGTCAAGATTACTTTTGTAACAACAGGCATAACACTAATCATTTAAATATATACATGTGTGGGGTAACAAACATAAAATAGTTACATTCTTTACTTTACGTATAGAATAGATAATCAAGCGTAAAATAGTACACGTAGCACAACTAGAATTTTTGTTCTTGTGTTTTTGACCTTCATATAAAATTAAGTATTTAACTGTTTAATTTCTATTTAAGATAAGATGGAGAAATTCACGTCATTTATAAATGTACTGTTACTTTGGAATGTCATTGACTGCCAAGAGTGAGTGAAATACTATTTCAAAAGTAAAACTAATGTGTAAATTATTTCATGATGTACGCCATGGATAAGAAATACTTTCATAGGAATTCGCTGTTTCTATTTTTAAGAAGTTCTTAGTTCTTAATTGGATAATTTTTTTTGTTGTTGAAATTGTTACAAACCATCAAATAATGGAACTCATCACCATTTAACAAAGTGGACACCTACTTTTAACATATGGAATACTGACTAAAGGCCAGTTTCAAAACGGAATTTATGATTTGCTGTCCTAAATTTGAGAATAGGTAAATATAATTGTTTCGGCAATAATGTCAATTAGTCTTCACGCTCAAATTGATTCTTAAACAAGCTATACAGTTTACCTTTATTTGATAGTTCCGTCCTACTAAACAAGTCGGTAATAAATTTGATCAATCAATTTTGGTTTAAGAATATTGCACTGTTCATAACCGCTTACACCAAAGGTTAATTTAACATAATCGAACCATTTAATTATTTAATCACTTTTTAACAAAAAAATGTAGACTCGAGTATTTATATTGATTACCTTCGACTAGAATTTTCCAAAGATATGAGAGGTTATGCATTATATCGCTTTGATTTCCTTGTTAATAAGACATGTATACAATATTGATTAAAACAACCTATTAATCAGTTAGTGTTTGTATGCAAGGCAAGCTTGTATACAGTATTTAAAATTATTTAAGCGTGACGGAAAAAGGCGGTACAGGAAGGTGTTTTGATGCAATGAAATCAGAACGACCACTAAGATGGGAAAATACAAAACTTTTAATTGTTAAAAGGCAAAGAAATAAATAATGGCATCCTGTGGATATTTTTAATAATGGAAGTAGGATTCAATGTTAAACTGCAGGGAGACATATTGTTAAACAGCATTCAACGGACACATGCTGTTATATATTCGTTATAATCAATACATAATAGAGTGCAGAATTTATACTAGTTAATTTAATTTTCCTCTGTACATCATTTCTATTCATAATAACGATAATTGGTGCATTTAATTGAAAAGTGAAAAGGGGGAACGGTTTTATGTTTCAAATCATTTGAAAAACAAACCCTATTTTTCTGAACTTTTTAATATTTTGCAGTATCATCAATTTATAAAAATATCATGTGTTGAAGAAATCAGTATCTACATTAAGGTACATTAAGGAACATGTCTGTAAACTGCAGTGAAAAAAACATATATTACCATTTATATCTATTAAGCCAAACTTTAATCTGTTTAAAGACACATTATACCTCAGATTTATTTCTTCCTTTGAACGAGGGAAAGGGTGTTTAAAACGTTTAAATATAATCAACGCCATTGGCCAATGATTATTTATATTTATACTATAACAAGACACAAACAATGAAAGGTTATGTTCTGGGGCATAGTTTACCTTTAAAGAAAGAAATACAATAGGCGCTGGTAAATCCTGTCATTGATTAAATGAAAAAAGAAAACACTGTCAATCTTCATTTAATATGTAATATTTCTAATAGACAAGTATTGCCTAGATAGTATATGCCTGATCCTTTTTGTGTCAATATGAAAAAGGTTAGATTGAAAAGTTTCTACATAGCCGAATAAGTAAATAGTTTTTCCTTGTACTTACAGTCCCGTCAGGGATGCCCGCTAGCATCAATCAAATATTTACTTTCCGAGCTTTTAACAAAATTGTGGGAAATAAGACGGCAACTGTTTGCCTAAATGTCTCTGCCCTATCCTATAATTATGATAAGGTAAGATCTTCTACGGTCATAGTGGTCTACTCTATCCGGCCTTATATGTTATGTTTCGAAAGAAAAACAATTATCTTTTGTATACAAAAATGATTCAATATCTGAATTAAAGCATATAAAACAAAAGTAAATACCTTTTAACATTAATTGAACTGCAAGAAGAATAGGCACGGTACTTTTCGCTCGACGTGATCAGTTACTGAAAATAAAGCACAATATGATTTGTTAATTTTCTATAATCGCAATTAAATAAATAGATAAAGGGTTCATAATTTTGTTTTTAGTTTAGAAAGAAGCAGGAAAAAGATCTTTGAACCAGATTGTTTCTAACATATTTAGAATAGAACAGGTATTGATATGCATAGTTGCTATAGACTATGGTATTAAGATCATGTATTGCAATAGTAGTCTTTTGTTTTCCCTATATATGTATCAACAAAAAGTAGTCCCTTAAATGTAAATGTCTGTATTCACATGACAACTGTAAAATCTGTTCAGTAAATAAACAACTTTCTAAGCTTCCGACTTATAATCTTCTTCAGAAAAAATATAGGTTCTTTTGGTCTTCCTCTACTTCTTATTTCATATAATTTATAAAACATGTAGCATATTTCAGTTGAATGTACGATAAAAGAGCCGAATTTAAGTTAAAATTTCCCCTTTATTGATCTTCCTATTCTCTATAAAACAGGTTAAAACATTAGTACGTGTATTCTCATTTGCGTAGATTGGAAATCTTAATACTTAAGTATTTATTTGCTTTAGGAAAATCAGATGTCGTTAAGAGATTTGCATTGAAAGGCCAAGAAAATAACTTATAACGGACATGAATTTTATTTTTCATTTAAAGCCCTTGATCTATTTATGATGTTACTGGCATAATGCAATGTTTACACTGATACTTTACATACCAATCTACTAAAAGTATACTCAGATCCTTTACTATTGCATTAATGACATGGGAAAGGTCAGAATAAATAAGATTTAAGTCTAGGCTGCAGAAAGTAGCTAAATATACTAGTATAATATGGGGACTGTTATCCATTGAAAAGTATAAATGCAAAACCATTATGACCATGGAATACACTTTGATACTGCTGCTAAGGTTATACTGTGGAACTAAAATGTACAGTTGTATAAAGTCGCCTTCGTAGGGACAAACACTTTTATAAAAATCATTAAATAATGTTGGTAAATAACAAAATACATGAACAATCAGCACGTGTTCTTATTAAAATCTAGCTGTCTTTGTTGTCCGTGTTAAAAGTATTAAGTTGTGTGTTTTTTTTAATTATACAGCCTCCATGCTGTGTTTTGTTTTATTTCCAGAAAGTAAAAACTCATTAAGACTTAAATGACTGAAGCATCGTAAAATAAACCGTTTGTAAAACCTTATGTGGGAAATTTAAGGCGCGTTTATTTATTTCAATTATTGTTGCAGCCACCTATAGTCAACAAAACATCGATTGTCTAATCACCAATTACAAATAAAATATTTGTTATCAAACAATTATTTTGTTAGAACAAATTAATTTTTAATCTCATTTTATTACATGACTGTGTTTTAAACTTACATTACACGCAAGGCATAAAACTGAAAGTCAATATTTATACCTGTATACAAGTAAGAATATGATGTCGATATGAGATTTTTTTATTAATGATATTTCCTTATAAATGACGACTCTCCAAATGTCTTAGTAAAGTGCAGTACTCACATAAGGGATGGTAAATAATCTATTCCTGTAACGTAGGTTGTGCTTGATGTGATAATAAATATTTGCGTTACAAATATAATTTCTATCTCCCTGTAATAGCAGTTTGTCGTGCTGAAAACGCCTTCAAAATTTCTAAATATATAATTATAGTTAAAAATGTACGCCTTTCCCTAAATGGCGCATTTGAGTATTTTCTGAAAGTCATTAACTAATTACATACTATTTTATAATTTAAACAAATAATTCCGTTTTTTTAAACTATAAACAAAAGGAAATGATAAACTCTGGGCGACCATAATTTGTTATACACTATAAATTATAACAATTACTGTTCTCTTAAAAGTGGAAACTGTTAAAAGTGATGATCCATAATGATCTTCAAAATAAATTGAAATTGAAAATTCCTTGACATATAAGCTTAAATGATATTTAAGTGCTACATTTGTATAAATTAACTTTTATAACTAACTTTGAATCAGGTGTTCGTGCGAAATGAGGTTTATTAAATGCTTAAAGCTATACTGTCTTTGCTCGTGAACATTGTACTTTTATATTAATGATGTAATAATAATGTAACTTTTTTTCAAAAAGCAATTAATGATTGGAATTCCTTGCCAACATACATCAAAAAAATTAATAAGATAGGAAATTTCAAAAGCTCTGTGAAGGCCCATTTACTAGAACAGTTAGGTTAGTAAATCATATTTAAATCCACTAGTATGACTAGATATTGATCTCATTTTTATTGTTTTCTTTTTAGCAAAGTTAATGGAAATACTAAAGTTTGATATTTTACGTAAATGACATCTTCCAGTTTCCAAAGTTTTGTATTTTTCAATGTTTTTGTGTTTTATATTGTATATTATAGTAAGTATATATCCAAGGACCCCATTGGAAATAAGCCTTCGGGCTTTCATGGGCAATCCGAGGTTATTGCACACTACTCTATACATGTTTCCACTTACGTCCTTACATTTTATTAAACTAGTAAATTGATATCTAGTCATAGGAAAGAAAGGGTTTTAGATTTTGTTTTTAGTTATAATATTTTATTATTTAATGAGCCGTCTGTGATATTTATGTCTGACAAACTTCCGAAATATTTTATTACAATTGTGTCATCAGTTTTATATAAAATGCTAAAGTGTTTGTTTTATGTATACATGTATGTGTGTTTTAACCTGAATAAATATCTATCTATCTATTACAAATTTATCTAATAAAGAAAGGACTAGCTAATATTCCAATTTAATGAATGACCATTAGTCTTATCTGTGAGCATTATTATATTAAAATTAAATGCATTGCCATTTTATGATATTGTTCATGTGTTAGGGTGATATGAATCTTTCAATAGAATGAAAATGGTATAATTATGATAATGAATAATATTATTAATTAAGTAAACAATGTTTCTTAAAAAGAAGTTCCCGATTTCAGGGCTAGTATTTTGAATACGAGTAAAATATAAAATACGTTTGAGTAGAATTATTTTGTCAATAAATTTAGACCAGACAAGTTTGTATTGTATTTCAAGGAAAATATGAAATTCATTTTCTAAGATATTGTTATATTGTTTGTCAAAAGTACTCACATTATCTCATTTGCTGAATTCATTAGTTAAACTAATATCTTAGTATAAAAAAAGAAAAAAAGAAAACCATAAAGTTTTAAATATAATTGAGAAAAATTAATTTCTGTCTATAAATAACATATATATAAATTATTGTCGTCGTCTGATATTGCTTTAATTATGTCTTGGTGAGATATGTGCGAGAAGCGTTAAGTTGAAGATAGTTTACGTAATGCAAAAATTATAGTAAATTTAAGCCTATTAAGCTATCGATTTTGCCTTGCTTTATAGTGTCTTACTGTGCAATAATTTGTTACTTCCTCCCAAAAGTCTAAGAAATGATAGGAGAAAAGTTCAGATGCAAACTACTTAATTGAGAACAGCAGTATTATGTAGATTATAATGATGCTGAAGTATCATCAAAAGACAATATTTTATTTGATATTTTTGAAAAATGCTATGCTCAGATTTAATTTAGAAACTATCGATAATTTCTACTTATTTTTTTGCAAGTGTAAAATAAACATGTTTTGCCTTCCCGTTATGTTTAAAATCCTACACACTATAAGCGGATACAATAGGAATATAAAGTGTCGTTACAAAACTGGCAGGTTTTTTTTACAAAGAAAGTCCCAACTTTACTTATTTCGTAAAGTAGAACGCAGTTTCCAATATTCTTTTATTCATATTAGATATATTCAGTAAGAATTTTATTTATTTCAATAAATTTCTGTGATTCACATATTTTACTCAAGGATGAGAATAGTACTAGTATATCTTTAAGGAAACATTTATCATATCATTTACATATAATTGTAACATGCTTTTCAGTGAATAGTGAAATCATAAAACATAATTTTCACAGAAGCCTGACTATGAATGCGGATGAAAAGAATAGACCTTAAATTAAGTGGATATATCGTCCGAAATACACGCCGTCATGTGTAAAATATGATAACAATAAGCACATGAATATCTGCATATATAATTTTAAAAAATGTAACGGTTTACAGAATTATTTTTCAACAACTACAATGTAACACCATGATTTGATGACGTCATGGATGAAAACGCATGTCGTCTCGCGGGAAAATCAGTAATTTATGAGAGAATGTAACAAATAGAACATTTTTCGTTGGTATATATTTCGTGAACACCAGCTGTTATATTTTCACTCGTAGCGTAGCCACTCATGCGCATGAACATCTGGTTTTCACTCTATGAAATGTATTTTTATCTTGTGTGATTTCCCTGTATACATAACATAGTGTAGGATAAAGAGGGGTTTTAACCCCTCGAAACGTTGGAGGTTAAAACCTTTGTGGAGTAGATAATTATTAATTGATTGTTTCTAGAATGATTTTATCTTGTCTGAAAAACAAACAAATATCCCTTGTTATTTTCAATAGATTAGATAGGATAGATAGTTCTGAATATTGGAACAGCATGTTTATTTCCAATTTGTATAGAATTAAAATATTCAACCCAGTTGTCATAGTAACAGCTTAAAGTAGTCAGAAAGTGTGTGATAGTCAACAATGTAAACACACAACATCACTATCAATTGAGCAAAAGTATTCAACACAATCTAGCGAAACCAGTTAAAAACAATTTACTGATAATAATTAAGTTTGAGCAATAGAAAAAATGTTGTTGGTGTATGGTTCTCGTAAAACATTAAACAATGCAAATTGTAAATGAATATCTGGTAAAGCTGACGCATATCTGTGATTTTCTTTAGTTCTCATTATTATTCTAACTACACCGTAAAATGACGGCACACATTGTTTTGGCTTCATTTGAAGATAAACATTTTCTTCACGCTTTGATCATTAGTGAAAATGAAACTAATTTGTTTTACATCCTTTCAAAACACGCAAACAATGTGCAAAGCAATTAACAAAACAC